ATTGGGCCTGTGAGGCCCAGATTAGCCTTGTTTGCTCTGATGAGCCTTGGGCTGGTCTCTTCTGGTTTTTTGGGCTTCCATCTTTCTTTGATTTTTTGCAGCTTTATTCTGGGCCTAATTTTCGCTGGGCTGGGTGTGTCAATTTTTGGCCCAAACACCGCTATAATGTTAAAATATTATATTTAATGAGTATAGCTGCGCGGCGATACTATTTAAAGGTATAGAATAATAAATAGAATATTTTAAAGGTATAGCCGTGCGGCTATACTGGTTGAATATATTATGTTTTAATTACTTTTATTTATTTAGTGAAGAATTAGTATTTAAATATTTGAATTAATATCATAAAAATTACTTAATAAAAATTAATTAATTTTATTTAATGATCTTAAAGAATTTTGTGGAATTTAAAATTATTTTAAAAATAGTTTCAATTATTTAAAAACTCTAGAAAATTATTGTAGTATTCTAAAAATGGAATTTTAGTCTCCAAACCAAAAATCCAAGTCTCGAAACAAAAACCATAGGTTTCGAACTTATCCGAACTTATTCCAAAACCGTTCGCAAGCCTCGAACCCTAGCTGTAAACCTATTGTAAGGCACTTAGGACTCAATTAGAGTTGGATAATCACGTAACTCGACGCAAGGCTTTACGATTTAGGTTTCGCTCTCAATCTTGGGCTCCATGAAAATTTAATTAAGACACCCAAACGAAAATAAGTAATTTATTTTTTCGTTTTCACACAACAGAATTAAATCAGTAACATATTTAAATATTCACTAAAGAAATAATAATTGATTCGTAATTACTAATTAAAGTGATTCAAAAAGGGTAAGATATTACTTAATCACATATATTAAATTAAAGAAGTTGGCCAAAAAACGAAAGTAAAGAAACTTTGGGGAGACAATGGCGGAGGTGGTGGTGGCGATAGCCATGACAATATGCTGATAATAGAGGTGGTGAAATTATATCTTTAGAATTAAAAATATTATATCTATCAAAATCTTTGGGGAGGGGAACAAATATTTGGCATGGCCTAAAATAAGTCTAAAATCAATCGAAATTGATCACTTTTTATGTTTCCTTTAAAGTCAATGATTTTTTTGAATAACCCAAATTTTGATGTAGTCGTTTAAAATCGCTATTGAATACCTCCAAATTTGAACTGTAAAAAGTTTGAATTAAATAAAGAATTTTATAAACTTGTATAAAATCTACCCTAGAACTTTGAAACTTCTTTAAAATCTCAATTGAATACACCCTAATATACAGCACTCCTTGTTGAACAACTCAGCTTGGAATGAGTTGCCTAAAACGCTCATATCATATTTGCAATTGAAGGAGAACTACCTGTTTATTATTGAGATTTTCTATTTAAACCCTACACTTCTCTTAGTTCACCCCATGTTCTAAGTTCACCCCAACTTTTAATTTAAATTCTCACAATTTCTAAGTAAACCCCACTATCTTCCCAAACTACCCTTACATACACCCCAAGCTGAAAAAATAAGAAATAAAAGAGATTTTCTATTTAAACCCCACAAGCTACCTTTAGAGCCATGTCAATAAACTCTGCAGTCCACACTAACACGGTAAAACAACTCCAGAGATAAATTCATTTGACTCTTCCCTTATAAATTGGGACTGGTGTCTGAGCTTTTTATTCAGTTCTCCACAAATCTTTTGCATCATGGGTTGGTGAGAATATGTATAATTTCTGGCATAGCCTATGGGTGTTATGGAATTGATTTTAATTTCCTCTTATGCCTGAGTTTATCTGCATTGAGATCTTTATGATTGGAGAATGAATATTTTTTTTTTTGTCTTTGTTTAGATATGCATCAAGTCAATATAACCAGTGTTTATTTCTTCTTTTGTCAATCTTCTAAATTGTTTCCCTTCAATGCGTTCTTATCATAATATCGTCAGTGTCTTCTGCAGGTAATTAGTGTTCTAGATGTAAGTAGAAGTAAGGAGAAGGGATATGAGACGATTGTAAAAGATGATTTCTGTGATGAGGTTTGGCATAAGTCCCAAATTCCCATTCTTAATTGTCAAATTAGAATGCTTATTTGCCTCGTGCATCATCTCATCATTGTTGTTCTTATTGTTTTTAATTTTCTTTTTTACATTTTGTTGTTTTTAAAATAGAAAAGCAATCTGGCATAGGATGTAGAAGAGTTTGTATTTTTTTAAACTTAATTTGAAGAGTTGTGGGATGTGTGGGGTGTGTTGGGGTGTGTGTATAGATGTATTAGGGTTAAGTATTAAGTTGAATGACCTTTTTTGTCTTTTTACACAATAATAAAACTTACAACTTAATGATTTAAATATTGGGGTGAACTAAGAGAAGTGTGGGGTTTAAATAGAAAACATCTTATTATTTTATACTTTTGTGCCAGTGAGAACAAATTCAACATTAAGGGCTATAAAGTCTATTGACAAATTCGACCAAACAAAAAAATGAAAACAATGGCTTTTCATTTGTTGCAGAGAATTGGATGATTTAAAAATATATACATCATGCTGTCCAGATGAAGACACGACAAAGAGTCACGTTGTCCGTCCGGCGAATCAGCGTGCCTTTGTACTTTCCTTTGTTTAGAGTATTGCTTAGTGGATTGCACCTTGTTTAGTGCTTTTGTACTCATTGACCTTGCTGCATATTCCAGATGCTATGTTTTCTTCTTCTTCTTCTTCTTCTTCTTCTTCAAATCTTTGCTGGTTTTTCTCTTCCTGCCTTGCTGAATTTTGGTTCTGTTTCTTCTGAAATGACATCTGGGTGGAAAATGCAGCAGTATTGGCTAGGTCTGAAACACACACAGGCCCGAATCATCAATGACCATCGTCAACTGCCATTGTCAACATGTATGAAGTGGAGTTTCTCTTTGTTGACACCGGATTACGTCGAAATTCAAATGGGTTGGTTTTTTTTACTACTCTCTCCGTTCTTTTTATTTTTCTCTTTCTCTTTCTCTTTTGATGATCAAATTTTTATTTCTGTTTCAAATCTTGTTTAAGTCCCATATGGATTCATCACCAAAACCAGATCATTTTATCACTTCTGCTCACCCACTGAACTGAAAATCTGAGATACCCCCCAAAAGCTATGAATTAGCCTCTCTCCGTTGATTCATTGTGACCCTTGTAAATAGCCGACCTAATTTTTATTAGGTTTATTAGTTGATTCAAGGGGCCTAACTCACTTGATTTATTAGCTTTTGCAACTCAAAAACAAAGACAGACTTGTTCCATTTCTTCAACAAAAGTAGTACCTGGGCTTGGGCTTTTACCCCACTAGGCTTTGGGAGGCTGGGGTTCCTCTTTCTATTGTTGGTGCGTTTTATTTTTCCATCTTTGGGCCCCTTGTTCTAGGGACTTTCTTTGTAATCTTTTATTTGCATATATTAAGGGACAAAAGTAGCGTGTATCTCCAAATAAAAGACAAAAGTAGCATGTATCTGGCGGAGATACATGCATATATTAAGAAGTTGGCGAAAAACAAAAGTCACGCTTTAAACACGCCTGTTTCACTCTCCATATCTTCTTCCATTCAGTACTCGAAGTCGCAGAGTGGTTTTCTAGCGGTGGGTAAAGACAATCAGAATTTGTTTTCTAGTTTGTCACTTCAATTATTTAGTTACTCGTTTTACCGAACTCGCTTGTTTTTTCTTCCTTTTCGTTTGCGTGTAACAGCAATTCTATGTCTATGGCATCTGTTCTGCCTGTAAATTGGGATGATATTGCGGAAGGCTTTGGCCCGCATGCACCGTCTAGTGGTAAAGGCTCACAAGTCCTTCACACCAACCCACAAGCTCAGAGCCAGAAGAAGACTAAGAAAGCGTAAGAACTCTATTTTTTTATATTTATGATCTTTTTCTGATTTAGATCAGGTTCAAGTGTTAGATTATGACCGTAATTTGACAAATTTAGGAATTCAATCAGCTGTTCTTATCTTTATCTCTGCATATGTTGATTCATCACGTTTTCTTTAATGCATTGTCAATGTTAGTGGGTTTCGAGAAATTTACGTGTTTGGGAGACAATAGAATTGTTGAACCAAACAGCTTGGCATGCAGAAGATGCTGCAGCAACAAACTCTGCTTCAGTAGTCGATAAAGTCACAATTGACTGTTTCTTTAAAGACCAAGATGCAGCTGCTGATCCCATTGTAAAAACATGTCCTGATGTGCTCCTTCTATCATCCAAGTCTCCAGCGTAATCGCTGTCTCTAAAGACAATCAAACCATCCTTTGTACCCTTTTTATAAAGTATGCCAAAATCAGAAGTTCCTTTTAAATAGCGGAAGATCTTCTTTGCAGCAAGTAGGTGCAGACTTGTAGGACATTCCATATAACGACTGATGAGGCTGACTGCATGCATTACATCTGGCCTGGTGGCTGTGACATACATCAAACTTCCTACAATTTGTTTGTAGAGGGTGCTGTTTACTTTCTCTCCTTCAGGATCCTTTGTTAGCTTCAAACCACATTCAGTAGGAGTGCCAATAGGATTGCAATTTGACATCCAAAACCTGTCCAAAATAGTATGAACATACTTCTTTTGGGATATGAAAATCCCAGCAGGAGATTGTTCTACTTCAATGCCAAGGACAAGATCAGACATTTCAAATTCTGCTATCATAGATTTCTTAAAAACATCAATCATAGTCATATCACTGCCTGTATAGATTAAATCATCTACATACAAACAGACAATAAGAATTTTTCCACCAGCACCAATTTTAGTAAACAACGTGTGTTCATACGGACACTTTTGAAAACCTTCTTAAGCAAAATAAGCATTTATACGGCTGTACCAAGCTCTAGGTGCTTGTTTCAGCCCGTATAATGCTTTTCTCAACTTGTATACCTTCCCTTCCTTTCCGGGATGCACATATCCAGGAGGTTGATTGACATAGACTTGTTCTTGTAAGCTCCCATGTAGGAACGCTGATTTCACATCCAATTGAAAGATGGGCCATGAGTTTTGTGCTGCCAGTGAAAGTACCAGGCTGATTGTATCCATCCTAGTGACCGGAGCGAACACTTCATTACAGTCAATGCCATACTTCTGCTTATATACTTTAGCCACCAGCCGTGCCTTGTATTTGTCAACTCCACCCTCCTTGTTCAGCTTCATTTTATAGACCCATTTTACACCAATCGACTTCTGCCCTTCAGGAAGATCTGTCAAATCCCATGTGTTATTTCTCTCAATGGATCTAATTTCCTCATCCATGGCTCTTCGCCATTTGGTTTCTTTGTGAGCTTCTTGAAAAGTTACAGGATCAGAGTCTGTAAACAGTGCAAAATAAGTCAGTCCATCATCTTCATATTGATCATCACTAACCTCACAGTCCATCATCCATGCTAGCCTTTTCTTTGTGCGTTGGGGTCGAAAACTAGATGGCTGGCCTTCATTAGAGGGCTTCAATTGCTCTTCACTTTCTTTGCTTGCTGCTCTTCATAAAAAATAACAGAAATCTGCTGCTGCTGCTGCTGCTTTGAGCCTTTATCTGTCCAGTCCCATAGTGTTTCTTCATCAAATAATACATCACGACTGATGATGATCTTCCTAGTGGTGGGATTGTACAATTTATAGGCCTTTGAGTGCTCACTAACCCCAAAAAAAATACACTTTTCTCCCTTATCATTAAGCTTCTTCCTCTTCTCATTGGGAACGTGAACATATCCTATACAACCAAAAATTTTCAAGTAATTTACAGCTGGTTTGTGACCATTCCAAGCTTCTTCAGGCTTCATGTTTTTGAGAACAAGAGTCGGACTTCTATTTAAGATGTGAATACACCAATGTACTGCTTCTGGCCAAAACATTTTTGGAACACCACAAATTTTCAGCATGCTTTGAACCATGTTCAAGATTGTTCGGTTCTTCCTTTCACAAATACCACTTTGTTGTGGTGTATACGGTGCCGTTAGTTGCTTTCAAATTCCATGTGTCTCACAGAAATCTTCAAATTCTTGTGAGATGAATTCTCCACCACGATCAGTTCGAAGAACTTTCATATTTCTTCCGACTTCATTTTCAACAAGGGCTTTAAAGCTTTTAAAGGCTGAGAAAGCTTCAGATTTTTCTTGCAAGAAATACATCCAGGATTTTCTACTGTAGTCATCAATGAATGTAATGAAATACCTCTTGCCACATTGGAAGTTGGATTGATGGGTCCACAAATATCTGAGAAAATAAGCTGCAAAGGATTTTTGGCTCTCCATGCTTTTCCTTTCGGAAAAGTTTCACGATGCTGCTTCCCAAGAACACATTCTTCACAAATTTGAGTTGGACAATCAATGTTGGAAGACCTCTCACAATGTTCAGCTGTTGTAGAGTCTTCAATCCCTTGAAATTTAAGTGGCCATAACGATAATGCCACAACCAAGCCGTCTCCTTCACTTTGGCAGAAAAACAAGTCTGGCCCACACTTTGAATATGCAGAGGGAACATACGATTTGGTGTCATTTTGACATGTGCAATGAGTCCCTTCTTTGAATCTTGAATCTGACACATTCCTTCTTTAATTGTGATCTCATAGCCTTTTCCCTGAAGCTGCCCCACACTTAATAAATTGCTTTTTAAATCTAGGACATAGAAAACACTAGAGATGGTTTGTGTAGTGTTATCCTTAGTCCAGATTGAAATATTGCCTTTTCCCATAACAGAAATTGCAGAATTATCACCAAAACGCACATTAGATCAAAAAGAGTCATCTAACTAAGAGAATGATGACTTGTTACTGCTCATATGGTTACTGCATCCTGTGTCAATGTACCATACATCCTGATGAGTGTTCTCCACGGCTTGACACACCTGCGGAATTGTAGCTTCTTCTTCTTTCTCTGTAAAATTGGATTTTTCTCCCCTTTCTCTATTCATGTTAGTGCGGCATTCAGAATGGTAGTGACCATACCTACCACACTTATAGCACTCAATATTTGTGACTAAGGCAAAGATTGAGACAGACACCAAATAGAGAATGCTTCAATGGTCATAATGACCATCGAAGCGAGGTATGGCTGGCTGCACGTAGTTCTCTTGAACCTTGTCAGATGCCATCAATCCTTGCTGCTGCAACTCAAGAAAGCTGCTGCTTTTTGGAGAATTTTAAGTCAGGCCCAGTGGGGGCTCTGATACCAGATTGTGTGAACTAAAAGATAGCTTTGAAAATAAGAAGACAATAGAATTGTTGAACTGAACTTGTTATTCGTTGACTGAAACATGCTCTTCTTATAGAGGAGCGCACAAACAACTAATTGGTAAATCAATAGGAACAACTAAAACACGTCTAACAAACTCCATCCACTAGAGGGATTCCTAAAGACCTGGAAGGGAAACAACTGACTCCTATAAAATAGGAACTAACAATTATTCTGCAGAAAACATAATTAAGATATATCTCAACATTTTTATCATTTGGCTAGATCAGACACTCATACTGTTGCAGCTTTGAGATACAGCTTTTTATCATTTGGCGTTTCCTTCTGAAAACATGCATCATTGGTGTTTGCAAAATTATGCACTTCATAGGTCTTTGGTATTCATATGCTTTGTGTAGTGTTTCTGTTAATTGTTTGATGGTTTCTGTATCCTCGCGGTATATCCAACAACATTAAGTGCATGAATTGTGGATATCATCAACATATTATATTGCTCTTATTGTGTCTCTCCTTTGTCTTGATAAAAAATTTAACTATTCTGCTTCTACTGGGGTCAGCCTCTGTAGCTGTTATGTCCCTCTTTCGTTCTGGCCAATTTAGGTTGACCATATTAATTTGTGGTGGGGGAAAAGGATCTGTGGTGACGGATGGAGGCTTTTCTGCTAGCTTCAGCCTTCCTGCTGTTATTCCTGGCTGTAGTAACTCATACGCAACTCGTGTGCATGAAAGAAAAGCTCGTGAAGGTAGAACCCTAGGTTACCACTCTGTTGTCTTCTAATTTCTACATTTTCTTCAATGTCACAGCCTTGGCCCCCCCACTTCACGCCACAGTCTGTCTTCTGCAAAACTGGTGAGTTTTCGCCCACATTCTTTCCTTTCTATTTCATAAATTCCAAAATTTATATCTTGCGTGGTTTATTAAATCAGTTTTGTATATGGAACCAAAAGAACAAATAAAGGTGATATTCATTATCTACAGTTTTACTTGGTTTCTCCAAGAAATACATAGTTTTGTTTGGACTAATATTCTGAATAATTACTTTCCTGCCTGCCTTGTATACTTGTATTCCTGGTTCTACAAATTTTTTCTATTATTACTTGCTTGCACTTGTTGTGTACTTGTAGTCTCCAAATGATGTTCCGAATAATTACATATTTGTGAGAATACTGATTTAATTTGTATATGGTATGATTCAACAAACTATTCAGCCTCCACAAACTAGCATTCAGGAAGGATATGGGATGAATCCGATTTCAAGTGTTTCAAGTCGTACAGAATCACGTGCTGGTCATGTTGAGCCTCAAGTTCTTGAAAATGTCCCCGTTGAAAGTGCGCCCGCAGAAAGTTCTTCTGGAACTGGAAGTACATCAGACAACCAAACGTTCACAAGGAAAGTTCACAGAATGTTAGTAAGAAGCTTTATTGATTCATACCTCTCCTTTAACCAATTGTCAGCTGATTTTGAGAAAGTTGGTCCTTTGAACAATTTATCTGTTTGGAATATCTACCTAATTTGGTGTTTAACAATAACTGTACCTGATATTTCTCGTCTCTTGCTCTATTCCGTATTTTTTGTAGTTGTTTAATTAAGAAAGCTGCAAGAGTAATAATTAGCTAACTATACGTGAAATTCATTGATACCACTCTGGGTCCACTTCATTGTTGATGTAGAGAATTTCTTTTCATATTTGGAAATATCTTCTGAAAGTCTTCAGTGTTGGTGTTTTTAAATGAACTGCTTTGGTTTTTATATGCTTTATGCTGTATTCATTTTAATTGGCTACTGATCTTTTTCTGATTTGGGACCTTTTGTTATTACTGTGTGGCTGTGTTTGGTGCCTATGATTGGATTGGATTGGATAACTCACTAAATTCAAGGTATGTTGAAGGAAGAAATGGAGGCCATCTTCCACACTTGGTCCAAGTTGGAGGTGGAAGATGGATTAGTAATGAAGGAAACCTTATAACTTCCCACACGATGAAAAATCCTTCTGCTCTACCTTCATTTTTTATTTCAACATACCTTGAATCTAATAAGGTATCCAATCCAATCCTAGGCAACAAACGTGGTCTGTGCTTGTAAATTTTTTGTAGTGTACTGTGTACCTGGTCACTTTTATGTTCTTTGATATTATGGCACCAGGAATTTCTCATGTAATTTTCCAAAATTATCATATTTTTCATAACTTCTTGTTGTCAACTATGCCTCTGCAGAATCACCAAGATGTTCAAGAAGTTGAAACAAAAGCTGGCACGTTCGACTCAAAAGTGCTTGCCTGAGAAAAAGAAGATTTAACATTTTCACGGCATCTCTTAGCATCTCATGCAGTTTTGAGTTGAGTTCCAGTTTTGAAGATTTACCACTACTTACCCTTTTTTTCTTTTTCTTTTTCTCCTAAATTAATATATTAACATGGATGTATATATATATATATATATATTGATTTCAATTGATTTTAAGAGATTAATGTTGACCATGAGTATGATTGGTATATAGATATATATAAATATACGAATGCATTGATTTCGGTATGAATATAATGAAGAGAATGATTTAGTTTTGCATAACTGTTTTTACAGTGGGGTTAGTATGTTCTTATGTATTTTCTAAACTTTGTTTTTGGTCCACTCACATTTTTTTTCCATGTTTTGCGCCCCCAGGCAGTAAGTGTGCACAGTGATCCACCACAGGGCCGTTTTCTACGTTCCGCGCTTTCTCTTTCTGATGTAGGACTCTTTTGTAAATGAATTGACTCATCTTGTAAATTCTTAGTGGTTGCTCTGATAACCTGCCCTAGAATTAGGATTTAACTGTTGGAATGTATATATATATGCATGTTGGCAGTCTTATTATGTATATATGCTTGTTTGACAAGTGTAAGTTTTGGGAATTGATCAAATTACAGGGGAGATTGCTGAATTTTTGGTAGGACTCAAGCTTGATATTTTACTGAACTTTGAAGGGAAGGGCAATTAGGTTATTTGTGCCTGGCACCCACCAGGTGTCGGACACGCACAGGGTTCGGCCCGGATTCCAAAGCAGAATTTGGGTCGGGTCCTGTCAATAAATATATATTGAAAATTTTGTAACAAACACGCGTGTTAAACAAGAAAAATATGTACATGTACAATACCATATGTTTGCTTCTTCTTTTTTATTATTTAAAAAAAGGTGTATTTTACCAAATCTTTAAGACATGTATGGAAAATTGAAAAATACTTACACACTTGTATAGTACGAGTAATGTTAAATTCTTTATATCGGTAATAACTCTGGAAAAGTAAAAAATCAAAATGGGCATAGAGACTGGGTTAATGGCCTCATAGTAATGGATAATACTCTTAATAGACCGCAAATACAATAACAATCACTTAGTTCTAATTCAACCTCAAGATTTTCATAATCCGAAGCATGGTTTTCAATGTTTGACTAAGCAAATGCATTTGGTAAAATCTACCTCAAGGCGCAGTCAACTAACTAGGGTAAGGTCCAATTATGTCATACTAACTGTATATTAAGATCGAAACTCTAATTGTAAAACACTAGGTCGAGTTACGTGAGTATCCAAGCCTAATCAAGTCATAAGTGTCCCATAATAGTCTTGTGGTTAGTGTTTGAGACTTGGTTTAGCGTTTGGAGGGTCAAATCCATTTTTGGAATAGTAAAATAATTTTATAATAATTGAAATTATTTTTAAAAATATATTAGGAAATTAAAAATAATTTTAAAGTCCACAAAATTATTTAAGATAAGTAAATATAATTAATTAGTATTTATTAAGTAATTTATGAAATTAATTAAAATACTTAAATACTAATAATTCATTAAATAAAATATAAATGATAATTAATATAATTAAATAAGTTTAATTAATTACTTAATTGGAAATATTAAACTAAACAAACTAATTTTATATAAAACAAATAAAAAACAAAGTCCATAAGTAATTTCAAATAATTAAGTACTATTTATTAAGTAACTTATGAAATTAGTTAAATATTTAAATACTAATTAATTACTGAAGAAAAAATTAAAACATAATTACTAATTTAAGTAATTAAAAAAGGCTAATATATTACTTAATTACAAAAAAGAAACTATCTTGTGTAGTATAGCCTGGCGGCTATACTGTTAAATATTGAAATATACGCATATATTCGTAGGAGTATAGCCGTGCAGCTGTACTTAAAAAATATTCAGATATATTTAAAGCGTATAGCCTGTTCAGTAAAAATTTTTAAAAAGAGACCCGAGTATAGCCGATCAGCTCCACTATATATTTTCAAAAAAATAAATAGGCGGCCTTTTATTACCCCACGAGGACAGCTGTGCGGCTATACTATTAATTAAAAATAATTTTAAAAACCACAGCAGTATAGCCGTACAGCCATACTATAACTACATACTGAAAATTTTGTAACAAACACGTGTTAAAGAAGAAAAATATGTACGTACGTGTATAATACCTGTATTATATGTTTGCTTTAAAAAAAAAAATGTATTTTACCGAGTCTTTAAGACGTATATGGAAAACGGAAGTATTATTGAAAAATATGAACATACTTGTATAATACGAGTATTAAATGGGAAAATGCTAAATTCTTTATACGGGTAAAAACTCCAGAAAAGTAAAAAATCAAAAGGGGACAATAAACAAGAAAAATACGTACGTACGCGTACAATACTTGAATTGTATGTTTGTTCGTTTTTTTTTTTAAACATGTATTTTCCTGAGTCTTTATGACGTGTACAGAAAACGGAAGTATTGTTGAAAAATACGGACATATTATTAAAAAATTAGTATTATTGGATGACATTTGTTAGAATCTTATCATAGAGTTTGATAGATTTTTGTAAACTTCTATAAATTTGAAATAATAGTGGGCCATGATGTTTGTGATATTGGTGGTAGAGATGGTAGAAGTATCAATGGTGGTGGGGAGAGTGGTGGTAGTAATCATGTCAAGTAGTGGCAACAACAGTGGAGGTGGTGGTGGCGATAGCCATGACAATATGGTGATAATAGAGATGGTGAAATCATATCTTGAGATATCTATCAAAATCTCTGGGGAGAGGAACAAATATTTATCATGGTGTAAAATAAGTCTAAAATCAATTGAAATTGATCACTTTTTATGTTTCCTTTAAAGTCAATGATTTTTCTTAAGACAAACTACAGTAAACCCCTCAATCTATAGGGTCATTTATGAGTTCATACATGATTTTGGGGACTGTTCACTCTTTTTGTGTTTGTTCCTGTGATGGTAGGGTAAAGTTCCCCAATGACTTGAAAACCATTGACTGGTTAGCAAGTCAACTTTCTTTAGTGTGTGAGCGTGTCACTGCTACCAATAAAAATTCTAGCAGACTTCTTAAAATAGATAACTTGCGCCCCAAGTTACTGATTTCTAAACAAGCGATTGTGAATTTGGGTGAGGAATATCTCTCAAGTAAGTTCTTTTCCTGTCTCAGACTGATGAGGACTTCACAATTTATCTCAATACAAAATGGGTAGTTCTGGCCAGAATAATTGATAATAAAGTGGACTGTTTTAGGCAGAACTGTCTTTTACAAAACTATAAAGGAAAAAATCAACTCTAAAAAGACAAAAAGAAAGCTGGAATTCCATTTCTGCCTGGATAGAAGTCTCTGACCCCAGTTGGACTGGGTATGTCTGTGCTGGACAGAACTGTCAACAATTTCAACTATTAAGCTTCAGCTGTAAATCAATACCAAAGTTTGATTTTGGCAAAGCTTTAATCTATTTCAAGCCCTGGAAGGCTTTTTGAACGGGCAGAACTGCAACTTCTTTAGTCTGAATGGGGCAGAAGTGGCTGGATTTGAGGATTACTGAGCCGGAACTGCACTATGGTACCTGTTCTGCTTGGTCAGGGCTCTCCATAAATTTGTTGAGGTTTTCATATTTGTGAAAATTCAAACTCTACTTGTTTTGGCTTTTGCTGAACCAAATTTGTAACGAGAGGAATCTCGTTTTGAATGACTTATTTTTCTAAGTCTGAACTTGGAAGTTCTTATTTATAGCTAGCTTCTTCTGTGGCTTGAATGAGCTTTTGGTTGCTTCAGTTTGTTTGAGGGTTGTCAAGGATCAAGTGATCATTTTGAGTTCTTGTCTTGGGTTGATTTTTTGGTTGTTTGATTGATTGTTGTCGCTCTGTTCATCTTCTCTTATATTTATAGAAATGCTGAAATAGAATTTCTAATCCTTAAAAAATGGGCGGCAGATTTTCTAAAAGCAAGATCTTTTATTTTTAATGCAAAGAAAAAGAGGTTTTATCAATTCTGGCAGATAAGCTCTCAATAGTCAGTTCTTAAGACAATCACTTCTCTGTTTTTTGAAAGAGAACCTAACCCCTCTTTAGATCCAACTGCCCTTTGTGAGAGCTCAAATAGTGATGGTTAGTTTGATTTTCCATTTCGAACCACTCCCTATTTCTTGCTTATCTTTTTAGAACACAGTCTGCGTATCCCTTGAAAGATGGTCCCCTTTTTTGGAGTAGAAACAATATCTCTGAATATATAAAAGGGTTTTGATCTTCTGGTGGCAGAGATTTAGAGATGTCCCTTTCTTGTTGCCTGCTTTTGTCAACTCTTATCAACCCAATTAAAATTGCTGACTTTTCTAAGTTACAGAAAAAATTCATGTGGGCTTGTTTTCTTTTTTGGTCTTCTTCTCTTCTAATCACGCCAAGCCCAAGTCTAGTTTTTTTTTTTTTTTTTTTTTTTTTGGAGTTATGGGCTGATCCCCTTTCTTTTTCCGAAGCCCAAGTTCGCCGTCATGGTTTTGACAGATCCCGGGTTGGGCACTCTTGGATTTTGGGCCTTGTGGCTTTTGTTATCTTGGGCCCTTCAGTGTTGGGCTGGGTGTGCAGGATTCTCAAACAGGGACATTTACCAGTACATACTCAACGTCACGGAAACCCTACAATTTGCCTCCTTCGTTAGCCAAACTGTTAGTCAATCTATTAAATGCTAATGCATCAAAATGAGACCCTTTTTTTTTATGACGTGGACTTCCACGTGGACTAAAAATTAATAAAAAATTATTTTATGTTATAAAACTAAGGGGAATTGTAGACAACAATAATAGGAAGAGAAACACAGAGAATTTATTCTATGACCTTGTATCAACATATCTTATTCATCTTTGATAAGCGCCTATTTATAGGCTTACAATAGAGGTATTTAACCCACAATTTATAGCTACTAATTACAATAATAGGGGTATAGATTACAAAGCAATAAGGGGTGGAGGTAATGGATGTTTATGGTGGTCATCCACATTCCATAGATTTATAACACTCCCCCTTGGATGTCCACCATACAATGACATTGTTGCCTCATTAAAAACCTTGCTTGGAAAACCTAGTGAGACAAAACTGAAGATAAGGGAAAAAGAGTGCAACTTTCTTCTTGATCATTGATATGGTTTTAAACACGCTTATGTTGCCTCGTTAAAACCTTGCTAAGAAAAACCTAGTGGGACAAAAACCTAGTCGAAGGGAAAAAGAGTACAACGCGCATATGTCCTGTATGTAATAGAATTGGGACGCTTCCCCTAATTGATATCTCCCCCTGATTTTCATTAACTTCTGGAATTTAGGCTTCATAAAAAGTTTTGGTAAAAAGATTTGCCAGATTATTTTGTGAACGAATTTGTTTAACTCCAATCTCTTGGCTTTTTTTTTTCTTTCTAAAATTATCACATTTGATGAACCCTTCTCTGATTTGAGCAATACAAGCAACATTGTCTTCATACATGATCGTTTATCACACTATTCGACCTGCTTTTCACTTTTTAAATGATTGAACTCGTTAGGAGCATCAACAACTAATTTAATAGTTAGAATATGTTACAACAATATCAAATTTGAATTCAAAATACTCAAACTTTTAACTCGTAATTAAGAATGTTATGGTACTTTATATCCTTCAAGGGGGTCGC